GTGTTAGCTCTACAACACCTCGGTTTTCTAGCATCCTACTCTTTCACCTTTGTAGATTAATATATCTTTCCTTTCTCACATAAGCTCCTCCCGATCTCATGGTTGTTGGATGGTCGACGAGGTTGATGCTCTATCCTCGGACAACTTAAAGGCATAGGAAGTCCTGACCTTCCCCTTGTTGAGGGAGTCAATTCTCATTAACCCGAAAGTTTTTTTAGATTTAGAATTTATAAAAATCCCTTGATCTCAAAATGCTTTATAGGTGAGACTTCATTTTTCCCTCCATCCGATGATAGTGTCTTATTTTTAATAGTGAAAAATATCACCTTAACTCGTGACACTACTTAGTAGTGTTCATAAAAAAATGTTAACACGTTCGTATTACCCTAACCTGTAAACTCAAACATCATTATGTTGCATAATCTCAAACATGTAAGGATTTCCACATCAAATGTCAGATGCACTTCTATTATCAATGAATCAGAACGTAATTAAACTAGGCATAATATAATAAACGTACTAATTTTGTACACAGTGTTTACATGAAAAGCCATAACGAAATATACAAGTCTATTTTCCAAAACTATAACTTGGACAATGCCCCGAACACAATTTATTCACAATTTGGTGTTATTGTATCTGATCAAACCATTTTCAACATTCAAGAAATGAGCCATGTCCTGTCCATCGCTCATTTGCTCCCAATACCGCTTTTGCAGGTCTGGCCATCATTGCTGGCCTCAGTCACGCCAAGCAACTGGGTCTCGACAAAATCTGGATTCGAACGGACACCCTGCAACGCATGTGACTTGTGGCGAATACTCTTAAAACTCAAAATTTTGATGATGATGTTTTAGCTAACAGGCCAAAACCAGAGGACTGACCCACTCCTGGGATAATGTTGCATCCCATTCCTATTTTGATTCCTCCAATCATGTCTCTGCTTATTATACTCAATGAATAGTCACCTTTTTCATTAAAAAAAATACAAGAAACACAAAATCATTTATGACATCTACATAAAACAAAACAGACACTCCAGAGATGTTTATTTATTACCATTTTAGTCTGGTTTCTTCACTATTCATTCTTGGAGCCTAGGCACAAGACAAGAGGCAAAGGGGCAGGGGCCACCTCTTTTGACCAAGAAGCTTATGGATGACAATAAATAAGAATATAAAAACTAAAATTAAATTGTAAAACATTACTGGCATACTATTTGATAAACGAAAGCAATTTAGATGCCAGTTTTGATTTATAGCTCAAATGGTAGAGCATCGCACTATGTGCAAAATGTATGAACATGAACGTGTTGTTCACATGTTGGAAGAAAGAAGAGACTACTGCAAACGCAATGACAAAAACAAAAAAAGCACAATAACAATGATATAACAACAAAAACTAAGAAAAAGAAAAGGCATAATTAAAATAGAGCAATATAAACAAAATAAAGAAAAAAAACAGAATGAAACATCAAGCACAAGTAAACCGATCAAATGCAGATGGAAAGTGAAAATAATTAAAAAACTAGAGGGGAGCAATGAAACAACATCTCATCTATAAAGTGGATGATAATTTGCCCCCCAGTCCATCTGATGACTTTTATCAAAAACATATAATCATAGCATTATATGGTGCTTGCTGTGATCACTCTGTACCTAATGACAAAATAATGTAAAACAAAATGGCAACAAGGTTTCCCATTGGAATAGCTGAACCCAATTGCCCATTCTCCTTCATTATTCCTATGGCAGAAGCACTTGGCGACAGTAGCACATTATCACAGCAGTGTGCGGATATATGTCCAGGGCAGTAGCATCAGAATATTGGTTAGGTTACTGAGTTCCAATGTCACTTCAGAAGGGCAGTAACCCTTCTTTGTAACAGCAGCTATTCGTTTACTGGGATAGTTGGAACATGTCAAGGGTTTGATCCCTCTTACTGGTGCTTTGTGCATCAATTTATGGCCCTTCTTTGTTACAGTCTAGATACCGTGCTATAAAAGAAATAAAAATGTTTCAATTTGTTTTCTATTTTCTATGACAATGTATGGCCAAAACAACAAAACCATAACTAGAACAAATTAAAGACTAATCTTTACTATCCCAAAAATCATCTCAATGAACCCCTGCATGAAAATCATCTCTTTTGTGCTAACAAAGTTGCAATGGGACATTTTGCCATCACAACCTGTTTTCTTCTTGCAGATCCGCACAAGCTAGCAAGAGGTTGCAACTTGCACCAATTTTTGCAAGCAGACATCAGTATCCCATATGACTCAGGACAAATTCAACCTAACTCCGTGACAACTGGTATCAGAAGATTACCAAGCATGCAGAGCCAAAAAGGAAAAAATGAACCAATGAAAATGATTGTCAAGATACCCAGTGGATGATTAGGGTTCATCCCAACAGCCCATTTTCCACATGATTGCTTTAGCAGGAAACATTTTCAGCAAGACATGCATGGTTTCATCAACATGACACCAATCCTGCAGATCATTCAATAAATCAAACACTGGGATCATACATCCAAAGGAAACCCAACTGACATCTCACCAAGAGAATAAAGAGATCATAAACATGGTTGATAAAGTGCCGCCCCTTTATCAAAGCCTGAAACCTTGATGTGCTTTTAATTATTCTATAACCAATGGCAAACCAATGAAAAGCAAAATGGTACTAAACCTTCCCATTGGAGTAGTTGAACCCAATTGTCCACTCTCCTTTACAATTACTATAGCAGGAACACTCGGCAACACTAGCACATCATAACAGCAATGTGCCGAAACATGTCCTGCATAGTAGCATCAGAATATAGTTAAAGCTACAGAGCTCCATTCTCACTTTAGAAGAGCAGTAACCCATCTTTGTAACAGCTCCTATTATTTTACTAGGATGGTTGAACATGTTGACCATTTGATCTCTCTCAATGGTGCATTGTGCATCCATTGCTAGTATCTAATGCACTTCTTTGTTAGAATCTAGATATCATGTTATATAAGAATGAAAATGTCTCGATTTGTTTCTCTTTTTCCTTTTGACGATGAATTGCCAAAACAACAAAACCATAACAACAGCAAATTAGAGACTAATCTATACCATCCCAACAATCATCTCAACGAACCCCTATGTGAAAAATATCTCTTTTGTGCCAACAAAGTTGTTGATTTTCTTTGCTTGTTCGGCTCATTCCGAGTCTCTGCATTGCAATGACAGCATTTTGCCATCACTAACTGTTTTCTGTCTTGCAAACCCGCACAACCCAGCAATGGGTTGCAACTTGTACTGATCCTTGCGGGCAGACATGGCTTTGCCATATGACTCGCACAAATTCAACTCAAATCAGCGACAACTGGTATCAGAAATTTCTTAGCATGCAGAGCCAAAAACGAAAAGAAAAACCGAGTCGATGAGGATGCAGACTTTTGTTAGAAATGTGAGGAAAATGATTGTCGAGACACCCAGTGGATGGTTAGGGTTCATCCCAACTGCCCATTTTCCGCAAGATTGCTTTAGCAGGAAACACTTTCGGCAAGAAATGCATGGCAGCGCTAACATAACACCGATACACACTATCCTGCAGATCATTCATTACGACAAACAGTCGGATCGCACTACCAAAGGAGACCCAACTACGAACCACCAAGAGAATAAAGAGATCAAAAACCCCGAGGAAATAAACAAGATAAAACGAGAAAGCAAAAGAAAAGAATTCAGCTCAAAGGCGGAGATGAGAAATGGGGAAGGATCGATGATGAGGAAGACGATGCGTAGGGTTCCAATCCACGGCCGCCACAGCAACCTAAACCTTAATTTTAGGTGCAAATTGGGATGAACGACGATTCACGGAATGGAGAATACATAGAGAGGGATAAAAAGAGCGCCGTTACTTGGCCTGTAACAGTTTTTGTGCTCCGAGCATAGCAGCCGTTATATCGGATAAAACGGTCTTCTCATATGACGCAGTTATTACGTAAATGTATAGGATGTGATAAATACAACAAAATCAACATATTGACATTGGAGCAAATATAATTAATGATTCATCTTTTTTTAAAAACAAAAAAAACCTTTACTCAATAAAAAATATTTATAGTAATAAATAATCGATCGATAACATGTTCAAATCGCATGTCCTATATTTTTTGATATGAAAGAATTTAACTATTTGGCCTTCCTTCCTAATTAGGTCATGGATGTGCAAGAATAATGATCTAAGGCAAAAGATACCAAGTTTCAACTGTTGACATAATTTACGTATATTTTGGAGCCCAAGGGAATATACTTTAAGAAGACATTTGAGGATGATAAGTCCTTCAGCTTGCAACAATAATTATCATTCTTCTGATCGAGTTTTTGAGGGCGAAGTCATATTCCACAAAGCTCAAATTATACATAAAAGCTATGTCATAATCAATGATATAATTAAAATCATAAGATAGGCACAATACAAGTCTTCTCTGACAACAAGTAGCCTTTGCCACGTGGAGTCATTGACTTTTAGTCTTTTTCCATCCCTCATGATCGTCCTCGCCGACTGGGATAAGCACAATACAAGCGTTCCCTTCGGACAAGTCTTCTGCCACAAGAACAAGCAACCTTTGTGGGAATTCCAGGGCTGGAATCAATTGTAGTTTAGATGAGCTGGTTCTTTGTGATCTAGCGATGGATTTGGTTGAGGTCGTTGTTTAGTGTGACTTAGAAAATGGCAAGTCATATGTGGGAATCAATAGTAGTTGGAATGAGATGTTTCTTTAGCTGTGTTATCGTGATGGACTCGATCAACGTCTTTGTTTAGTGTAACAAAAATAATATGTGTGTGGGTACGAATATGGTTCTTTGGTTGTGTTCTCGTGATGGACTCATTCAACGTCTTTGTTTAGTGTAACAAAACAAATACGATGGTGGGTAATAATACATTATAGGAATTTGAAGAGATTGGCGTTAGGACGAAGCAGGAAATAGTTGGCAGGAGATTTGGGAGAAGTTCCCGTCCTTCTCACCTTCATCTCTCTCTATATATGCACCCACCCTCATCGCAGCTAAACCCCACTCTAAGTCGCCTATATCACAGAGAGCGAGAGAGAGAGAGAGGGAGAGAATGACGAGGATACGCCATTTCACCCACCCAAGCTGCTACTTGACCCGCACTTGCCAGCAAAGCTTCATCTGCAACGGATGCGGCGTCGCCGGCTACGGGGTTAGCTACCGGTGCAACAGCTGCGACTTCGACCTCCACGAGTACTGCGCCAGGTGTCCGCAGAGCCTCAGCTGCTCCATGCACTCTCACTGCCTGACGCTGACCCAGTCTGGCGGCTGCGGCCGCCGGTGCAGCGTGTGCTGCCAGGCGACCAGCCGCTTGGTCTATCAGTGCGGTCCCTGCGGCTTCGTCGTGCACCCCCTCTGCGTTCAAGGGCGACGTTGGTAGCTTTACTATGACCTAAATCTGTGTCTGTCTATCTATCGATCTATCCATCTATCTATCTATCGATCTATCCATCTATCTATCCATCTATCTATCTATCTATCTATCTATTTATCTGTCTGTCTGTCTCTCTCTCTCTCTCTATCTATCTATCTATCTAAATGTGTGTTTTACTTGTCGTTTGGGTTTCAAGCAGTAGCCATTTGTTTGGAGTTGTAACTCGAGTCTTGATTTGCGATCGTAAAGTTTGAGGAGAATGATATGGAAGTTGTTGTATTCGTCCCACAAGTGTTATTTCACAAGTATATTTACACATGTTTGAGGAAGCTATGCTGCCATGTATTATGGGAAAACAAAAACAGAATTTCATATAAATAATGATCCTATAAAACATAAAATAAACCATAAACTTTATTTCCATGAAAAAGTTAAAAGATTTATATGATGAATTAACACAAACCGAGTCTAAACTCTCTTGTACGTTCTAAAGATATATATTTTACTTATGCACTCGGCACATATTTCTTCCACAGCATAAGACTTTTCCTTTCTGTTAAGGATATTTATTTATTCTTTAATTAACCAATCACCAAAGTAATTCTTGATATAGATTGACTCTTTTCCTTGATATTGATTGATCGTCGAGTCATCCTAATTCTTGGTTTTGATTATGGAACTCATAGTTTTGATTTTGAAATCGAAGATTTCAAATCGATCGAGTTTGAATTCTATTTAATTTTAGTTTCAATTTAGGAATCTATGAATTTAATTTCAATTTCTTTATTTTTATTTTATTTTTTAATTATCAAAAATACACTTATGATTAGCCATTTCTCAAGTTATTGAAAAGGATGGATTCATCATTTTTATTTTTTAATTGGTTCCAAATCAAATCGGTAGAATGTAGTCTATTTCGATTCAAAACCATCGGACTATTAACCTTGTTCTGATTGGGTCTAGTGTTAGCCATGGCTAGATAGACTTACATTAAAAGTCAACGATGGTTATTTCAATACATATCCATGTCAACCCTTTCCTTTATCACGCCAATTATTTCAATTCATGAGCACTTATGACTATCGATCAATGGTTAAACAATATAAAAATAGACATAATTAAAATGCCTTGTAAGCCATGGATAGAGCTTTGGCGAAAATTTTAATATGAAATATGTTGATAAGTCTTCAAATGGTTAAGGTCAACATAGATTAGATTGGAAATAAGTCAACCCAAAATATAATATTTTCTTTTATTTTTTATTTTATACAAGAATTCTTTTTAATCTTTCCTATTCTTGCACTGACTCAATCAGCTGCTTACTCTATCAAACTGCGATTAGAAACATTGGTTTCGATACTATGCTCATATGCTCAAAATTTAAGATGATAAAGATTCTAATTCAAATGGGTTAGAGTTAATATACATCTGATCACACATCCAAAGACTTGAGCTTATTAGTTAAGTGATTAACAAAACCCGATATATATTATTTGACTTTTTTAAGTCTTACTAGTATGAGATTATACCTTACTCTTTCTTTTTAACGAAATAGTTATTAAGGACAAACCATACTATCTCCGCTATTGCAGACATATGGCAAACTTAATGATGCAAAAGTGTTAGTGTTATTTCTCTTGTTTCATCAAGCTTTCACAAAATAAAGAAGAGAATAAAGATATGCTTTGTTTGAATTGGCCATATCTTCTTGCTTATGAAGCATTTGCCCCTTTGGTTTAGTAGTTTGATGGGTTTACAAAACCATGGCACACACTTCAATCTTAACATGAATGTTGTACCAACTTGCATCCACTAATTATTGATTCAACATGATGAATGACTCTGGATTTCATCACTTGCTTCTTAATGGTTAAGACTGTGGATCATGAAACCTCCGGTCATTTCTTCTTTCCACGTTACGTCACATCCAATAAGTTAACAAACACGCTTTCAAATTATTTTTTATTGCCACTTGAACGTTCTTCCTCTCTTAAAATAGTTCGAGTAGAAGGATAAGGTGACATCAACACAACTTTTTATAATTGTTCATATCATTTAGATTGGGTTGGTGATTCGAAGGATGTGACCGATGGTTTCGAAAGAATCATGATAAGGAAGGCTATTTAAGATGAACGACTTGGCTGTTTATAGAGGGACAGTTGGAAAGATATGGATTCATGCTTGTACTTCATTCAAGATGAACATTACATGAAAAAAAAAAAAGTTGAAATATTAAATTATATTTTGTGGTTTGATATTTAAAAGTTATAGTAAAATTAAAAGTACTAGTACCTTCATGTTAATATTAATAAAGGATCATTTCATCGATCGATTATTAGTTAGGCTCATGAAGAATTATTCACTTTGGACAATGGATGCATCTATACGATTTTACCATTACAGAACTCGTGAGCTCTAAAAAACACCTTTAAGGGTACAAGAGACTCGATAAACTTATGAATCCTTCATTCCAATACTCCTTAATCAATGTGGGACTAAAGAGTCTTATTAGTGCTCTCTCCCGTAAGGGAGTTAAGGGCTCATAACCAAGGTGCACGGCTCGAGAGCAAGTTTGTTCGATTGAGCTGCAAGCCTTGGGGCCCTCCTTCTAGTGTCAATTTGATAAAGGACCATTTGGTTGTTTGGTCATTGGTGCGGTTCATAGACTCACGAAGAATTATTCGCTTTGGGTGATGGACATACCCGTATGGTTTTGTCCTTTCGGAGCTCGTGAACTCAAGGTGCCTTTGAGAGTATGGAAGACCCAACATACTTATAAACCCTACATTTCCATACTTCTCAATCAATGTTGGACTAAATAATCTTATCATATTGGCACTAAAATGAGGGCTCGAGGCTTATATTTCAGTCGAGCAAACCTGCTCTTGCGTCGTGCACTTTGGCTATAAGTATTTGGCTCCCCTACAAGAGGGAGCAATGATAAAGCTATTTAATCTCACATTGATTTAAGAATATGGGATCCAATGACTTATAAATCTGTCAAGCTTCTTTTACCTTTAAAGGTACTTTTTGAAGCTCATGTGCATACACTCGTTCCCCAAAGCAAATAATTTCGCCTAAACCTATAGGCCATACGCCGATGGGGAGACCAATCTAGGTTTTCGATCATAGAAATTTTTAGTTTTTTTTTTTTTTGGTCTTATCTTCTCCTTTTATCATCTTTTCTCTATTATTTATAAAGTCTATCATAATTTTAAATAATTTTGGTATAAAAGACAACTGAAAATTATATATTGAAGATAAAATAAAATCAAGGTTATGAATACTGAGTTATCTTGTTCTTGAATTGATATTTATTATACGACGTTTCAAATTTTTAATCTTTAATAAGTTGATTTAGTTTATCGTTATCAATCAAATATTTTATGATAAAAAATTATCAATATTTTATGTGTAAAAATTTATTCTTTTATAACATAAATAATTAATATTGTTAATCATATAAATACTCTCTCCCCATATGTTAATATTTCTGTATATTACAAATTTATAAACTAATAAAATCTTACAAAAACTTAAATATTATCATAATTATGAGAAAGCTAAGAAGTCAGATCATAGCTTATCGAAAGTGACTTATGAGAAAGGTAAGAATAGTCAGATAGGAGCTTCTAGAAAGCGACATAAGAAGGAATCTAAACAACATAAGTAGCTTTAGAAGGCGATAGGGAGACGATGCGAGGCATTTGTTGTTACTCCTTTATTAGCTATGTTTCTCAATCTCACTAGAATTGGATCAAATTCAAGTGGACTAATCGAAATCCGGTCAAATTTGTTCCCATCAAAATGTTCTTTTAGAATTTGAGGTTAAACCTATTAAATTATTCATTAATTTTTTCTCAAGCAACGAAAAAAATGATAGTCGATCATTGACTTTTAGTCTTTTTTTATACATCCCAGTAGATCGTCCTTGCCGACTAAGCTTAATAAAACACAATACAAGCTTTCTCTTCGTTCACGTCTTCTCCCACAAGAACAAGAAGTAATTGAGATGAGCTGGTTGTGTGTGTTGTAGCGATGGACTCGGATGAGGTCATTGTTTAGTGTGGCTTTAAATATAGCTAATCATATGTTGAGATGAGATGGTTGTTTAGCTGTGTTCTCGTGATGGAGTCGTTCAAGGTCTTTGTTTAGGGTAACAAAACGAATACGTATGTGGGTACTACGAATATGGTTCTTTTAGTTGTGTTCGCGTGCATGTGATGCACTCGTTCAACGTCTTTGTTTAGTGTAACAAAATAAATACGTATGTGGGTAATAATACATTATAGGAGTTTGAAGAGATTCGCGTTCGGACGAAGAAACTTGGGAGAAGTTCCCGTCTTGTCACCTTCTTCTCTCTATATATGCACCCACCCTCCTCGCAGCTAAAACCCACTCTAAGTCGCCTACATCACAGAGAGAGAGAGAGAGAGAGAGAGAGAGAGAGAGAGAGAGAGAGA